ATCATTTCTGTGTGTGTGGTCTGCAGGTTGTCAGGTTGTCAGGTGACAGAGGATGGCTGCTCTTTCCTGGCCTCTGCTCTAAAATCCAACATGGCCTCCCACCTAAAACAGCTGGATCTGAGTTACAACCACCCAGGAGACAATGTGGAGATGATGTTCTCTGCTGTAGCTCCACATCTGAAGCTGTGGTATGTCAAGATGTGTAGTTAAACGTGTAAATGTCGTCCTTGGGAAGGTACCATTGGCCTTATTGGACAGTGGTCATTCTATGGAGAGGCTTAGCCAAGAAGGGTCATTTATGAAGATTTTTAAAAACATTACACTAAAATCAAGCATCTGTCTTTATTTTGTACAGTTTGGACCATTGTGGAGAGCATCGGTTAAAACCAGGACTGAAGAAGTGTAAGTGTTTCTCTGGAACTGGTTTCCATTGTTCTGTCGCTTTGGCACAACATGATGCCTGAACTAAAGGTCAGATGAAGGGCCTCTATTATTAATCCTCACTGGTAGTAGAGGTTGGGTTTTTTTTTGTTTTCTTTAATAATCTTAACGTTTCCTACCATGACTTTGTTGCTCATTTTATTGCAGGTGAACCTTTCAAATCTATATAACACATCGAATTGACTGATTTTTTTATTTGTTTGTTCCTATTTATCTGTCTCTCTATATTTTTTCTCTTGTTTTGTTTTTTCAGATGGTGCAGATCTGAAGCTCAATGCGAATACTGCGAGCAGAAGGCTTGTTCTGGCTGAAGGCAACAGAGAAGTGAAAACCACAAAGATGGTGAATGCGACAGCTGCACAAACCCACAGCGAGGACAGGTTTAAGAGGTCTCAGGTGTTTTGTGATGAGGCTCAGACGGGGCTCTGTTACTGGGAGGTGGAATGGAAAGGGACCGTCGGCATTGCAGTGGCTTATAACACAGTGGGTAGGAAGTGGGACAGCAGCAGTGGCTTAGGATCCAACGACATGTCCTGGAGTCTGCTCTGCTCCACGACTGTCCATGGCAACACATACACTGCTCTGCACGGGACGATGTCAACACCCATTAAAGAACCCCATTGCCAAAAAATAGCAGTAATGCTGGATTGGGAAGGTGGAACTCTGAGTTACTACAGCGTTTCATCAGGAAAGCTGAGCCTCATACACACCTTCGAAGCAAAATTCACAGAGCCACTCCTCCCAGGTTTCTGGTTCAAAAAGGGCTCTGTGACCTTGTGTGACATAGAATAAGATGCTCCTCTGGATATTTTGCTATTTATTTAGAAAAGCATATCTGCAGTGATAACATTACTATAAAATGCTTTTTTAACTTTCATGCTCACACTGTAAATCCATCTTGACACTAGAAAGAAATTTTAAAAAAGCAATGTTCTTAATAGTGTGATGTCGGACAGATATTGTTGTAAAGCTGTGAAATACTTTTCTGACCTTGTTCTTAGTTGTTCCTCAGCATGTGTACATTAATACAAATTGTGTTGACTTTTTAACAAATGTGTATTCTGATAGGACATGAACAGCGACTCTTCGGTGGTTAGTTGTTTTGTTTTTTTGTGAGCAGATTATCTGTGCTGATCTGCACATTTTCTAAAAACCCTGTTATATTCATAGGTGCGAAATTAAGTTTCCTTAAACTAGTCAGAGGAGCAGAAGGGACAAACGTTCTCCATACCCAGCATACTGCTATTGCTTGAGTGCTTCCACATTTGTGCCCCATCTCTACGAAATCAGTCGCACAGCACCTGATGGTATTTGACAGCAATATGGAGCGTAATATTATCTCCAATATGATATGTTACCTGCATGTAGAAAACAACTTAATGAACCGATCTAAATAATAAACCCAAAATCAATATTTTGTCACGTGTTGACATAATTCGGACTGTATCTCGAATATAGCTCAAGGCGCAATGTGACTGATTTTGTGCAGATGGGTCACATTTGTGGATTTATCTGATTGACTAATG